GAAGATATGCTCATCCAACGACTAGCTAAAGAAACAAATATGTTTGGACTATACATAAAATTTAAGGGTTTCAAATACAAATCTTAATCCTAAAGTATAATTATTTGAATGTAATCTTCTGCTAAAATACTTTTCAGTTATGATTATTAGGTTTTAAAATTATATGAGGATTAACTACAATATTTCCAATATAATACTCATGGATAATTACAAATGTTCCTCATGGAACATTTCATTAATATGCAAATATGGGAAGATTATTGCATAAAATAAAATTTAAGGAGGATCCAGGACATTACCCTTATTCAATAAAATTTCAAGTACATTTATCTTATCATATAATCTGCAAAGAGTGGAGGATATTTTGGGGGGATCCCTCAACTCCCAGTGTCATCAGATTCAGACTCACTAAAGTGGAAGTGATGAAATTTTGGGAAAATTTGCAAGGGCAAATGTGCCTTAGAGAAGGATATTATCTAAGTTTTCTATCATAATAATAGATAATTTCTGCTTCAATTATTTGACATACATTACAAATTACTTTTTATTACTTAATTATATAAATTGTATACAGCATTTCTAGTATCAAAAATAGATAAGTTTACTTATCTCCAAAAATGGATTACTCCCAGTAAATCCAAAGCATACAAGTTAAAAAAAAAATGGCTTCATGTAAACCAGTTTCCCAAACTTCCAAGATGGTAAGACTCACCTATGGAACTTGGTAAAAACACAAACTGTAAGGTTTCTCCCACCCACTGACCAGAGACACCAGGAGACAGGCCTGGGAAGGGCCAGCTTTAAAAGCACCCGGGTGATTCTCCTCAGCAGGGAAGTTGGAGAAACACTGCTGTAAATAATTTGTTCTTCCACCTGCCTCTACTACTGTCTTGGTAGTACAAGTGTGCTCCTTGGATCCTCAGCATAGGCTTTACCTAGAAGATTTTTAGAAATGCAGTCTCTTCACCTGACCCCAGACTTACTGAATAAGAATCTGCATTTTAACAAGATCCCAGATGATTCATGGTCACACTAAAGTTTGAGAAACACAGAATACCCTATTTTTATTTCCCAGTGTGGCTCTCTGCCTCTTGCAAAATACAACAACTCCCTCCTGCTAAAGCTTGCAGACAAAATCTACACTGCACTCTGTCTGCAACAGGAGCATCCTCAGTGGCGATGAACCCCTGTGTTGATCCTCTACACAGCCAAACTGCTCTCTCTTCTAACGTTGGGCAGTTTCATGAACATCAAAGAATAAACCAGTGGCTTAGATGGGGTTATTGATGTGAAGCCCTCTTACCCATCTCACCTTCACACGTCTTGCCATCACTTCTTAGCACACGGCCAACCCCACACTCACATCGATATGAATTTTTGAGGTTTACACAGATCTCACTGCAGCCACCATTGTTTTGCTCACATTCATTTTCATCTGTAGAAGAGAAACCACACCATTTACATACTGCTGAACAACTCGGTCTTTCCCCAAGCCCCTTAGCAGGATCTCCGCATCTTTTGAGATCCTGTCCGTAGACTTTCTAGAGCCCAACTCCCTTGCTGGGATCCAGTGTAATCACTTCTATCAACCAGGTCTCCTCAACTGAGTTATTTGTCCATCTGCCCTCTTGGAGCAGCAGGCCACTGGTTACTGGCCAGTTCCCTCATAAGGGCAAAACTGTTGGGGAAATGAAGTTCCCTATGTTACCAGGGGTCACCTATTTGTTTGTGTTGGTGAGTCTCATTTTCTCCAATTTCTGAAGATTTGTTAAATAAATAAAACTTATAAGTCAAAGTGTTGAGGGGAGGATATAGCTCAGTGGTAGAGTGTGTGTTTAGCAGGTACGAGGTTCTGGGTTCAATCCTCAGTAATTCCATCAAAACAAACAAACATAACTACCTCCCCCAATAAAACTTTTTTTAACTTTAAAATAAAAAAATAAATCAAACTGTGTTTTAAATGCATTAAAGGAATTTACATTACAGAAAGAAATGTCTGATAAAGTTTTTTTTGTGAGCCTGTCTTCTGTTTTAAATGAATGACGGTCCTCAAAATCTATTTTAAATATTGGAATATTGTACTTAAGCAGCGATTGTTAACCTTTTAAAAAATCTGATTAAAAACTATGGACTCTTGCTATAAAAAAATGCACAGTTGGCAACAAATGTCGATCCCCTTCCTTCTACAAAGAAAGGGGAGTTTGAGGAGCTACACTTGTCCTGGTTTGGATCTAGGACATCAACCAGCGACTAGGGTTTAAATATCCACAAGGTGACAGAAGGCATGGCCTTGGGTGCAGGAGAGGAGATGAGCTGGAATTGAAACCCTGCTTGATTTCAGGACCCCAGAAAAGGAATCCCCACAAGAGGGGGAGTAGAAGGACCCTGCTCTAAGGCCAGGGAAGCAGTAAGGAGCTCTCTTCCAGGGGCTCCAGGAGAGACAAAAGCCTTCATAAACAACAGAAACCCCAAGTCGGATAGGCCCTGCCATGAGTGTAGTATGAACTCATAATTTCCACGTGGTACGGGAATCTTGAAGCTGAGAAAGTGATGTAAGATTTGGCCTGGACTGGGGAAGCTTCTGTGAGAAAAACATTTGAAAAACAGTTCTGTAAATTGTTTCTGAAACCTGGTAATGAATGGAGTTCCACAGAAAAACAGTGATAACAGAAGATGGTTTGCCATCAACACTACACATGAGAAGACGGTCCACTGTGAGAAGGAGCTGACAAGATAGTGCGTGGGAGGCTTGGAACTGGAGAGAACAGAATAATCCAGAAAAATCCATAATACAAGGATTTAAAAAATAACCAAACAGACAGAACAAAGGATGGTAACCAAAATATAAGAAGTGTGTAAAAAGACAAGGCAGAATCGAAACCAAACATACAGAACTTGTAGAAATGGAAAGTACAGTGGGTGAGATTAGAATCTTCGTCTTCATCCAGGGCCCCTACTGCCTGGACAGTGGATGGGCAGAGGCCCGAGCAGCCTTCCTGGGCATGGCCACACTGGTGCTTGGGTCCAGCTTCTGTCCAAGGCCTGGACTGCTTACCTTGTGACTGATTTTTTTTTTTTTTACATGAGGGAGAAATACACTTTTACTCATTTAAGCCATCGTTATTGGGAGTTTATTGTCGTTTACAGCCTAACTTAGATACCCTGTGCTCCAGCAATTCCACTTTTACAGGTATGCTCTGGAGGAAATCTTACACATGGGGTAAGGTGTCATTTATATGTTAATTTTAAGAACACATGAAACAATGCTACATATTGTTATGGTTGCATACATAAATAAATAACGGAAGCATGAAAACAGGGACCAGGACACATACTAACTTCAAAACAGTATTAACACTAGAGGGTGAGAGAGGTAAATGAGATGGAGTGAGATGGCTTTACTCGTACCTGTAAACTTTTATTTTAAAAAAAAAGGAAGAAAATTTTAGCTATAAATCTGGGTACATGAGTGCCTGTTATATTATTTTCCTATACTTTTCTCTCTGCCTGAAAAAAATACATAATTTAAAATGAATAATTAAAATTGTTACCTTAAAAAAAACCCTAAAGTAACATTGACACATGCACATAAACACAAAACTTTGGCGCTAATTTTTGGGAATTCATGATCTCCCTGAAACTAATAGACAGACCCCAGGTAGAAACTGGGGGCTTTTCCCTATGTCCCAATAGGCAGGGAGACCCAAGATAAACTGTTAAGAGTGGTGTGTATGGTGTGTATGATATGTGACTTTTGGTTTAAAACAGGGCAATATATATATTTGTATTTTTACATTTGCCTGAAGGAGCCCTGGAAGGATACATATGTAAATAATGTAAGAGGTTACTTGGGACCGAGTTGGAGGAGGGGGAAATGGAACACATGGGGGGCAGACAGTTCAACATTTCACTGTATACCTTTCATGCTGTTTCATTTGGGAACCATTTAAATATATTACCTATTCAAAAGTTATATTAAAACGAAAGCAGCGAAGTGAATGAAAAACTCCTGCTGTGTACGTGTTGTGCAGTCTGAGGCGCTGGGGTGGGCGGTGGGGTGGGTTACAGGAACCATTGTCTCCTGTAATGTAGAACTTTTTGCTTGAAATCACAGTCAAAATCAACCACACAAGAGCCCTAACAGCTGTTACGGGAGGGCCTCACCATGCTCCACAGGATGGCCAGTGGGGCTCATTAAGGGGACTGAGGAAGAAAAGCTCCTCTAAAGTAAGAATCCTTTTATGTCCCTGTCTCCCTGAATCCTCATCCCATGCGGACTTGGTCACTGTTCTTCCTGAGGAGGTGGGTGTGGGTCAGTCCTCCCCTTTCTCCCTAGACTTGTTTTAAATCTATTTGAGTCTAAATACAAAAAGCTTTATAACATTAAAGGGAAAATAGATGGTCTTCAGTCTTGGGTTTCTCACCTCTATTTTCTTTTTTTTTTTTAAATCTCTATTTTCTTCCAGTTGTAGACAACAGAGCATATATAACTGGACAACATTGGATTTCCTACAGATGAGCTGACTCCCCTTTCTTGCTACTCAGAGAAACCAAAGTTACATCAGTGAAGCTATAGGAGTATGTCCTTAGATAATTCTAGACCAAAGCTAGCCCACAGATATACAAAGAAAGCCACATAAGTAATTTAAAACTTCCCAGGGGTCACATAAAAAATCTGTTAAAATACATTGGTAAAATTACTTTTAACAATATATATCATTTAATACAGGATATTCAAAATATTTCATTTCAATATATAATCCATATTAAAATTACTGAGTTTTTAAATTCTTCTTTGAACTGGTCTTCAAAACGTGGTATGCATTTTATACTTTAGAGCATGTCTCAATTTGGATGCTAAATTTTCATCAGAAATACCTGATCTATATTTTGGAATCATAAAATGCGCAGTTTACTCAAGTTGACCCACTCATTTTCAGTCTTCGAATGACTGAATCAAATTTCAATTTTTAAATTAAAATTAACTCATATTACAATTCAGTTTTTCAGTCACACAAGCCATATTTCCAGAGCTTCACAGCCACACATGGCTAGTGGCTACTGTACTGGACAGTGTAATCTTAGACTGTCCCAACATACGATATAAATTTGGCTTGAGGCTTTAGTTAAAAAGGCAAACAACATTCTGGAAAAATGATGGAGCTCTGCATCAGAAAGAGTTTTTGATTTGTCCTTTTGCTCCTAATAGCCTGTTTCTACCGCAAGATCAGTTTCTTACCAAAGCACGTCTGTCTGTCAGGGCCTAACACGGTTCCTGGAGAGCACGTGCACTCACTGGTGTCCAGGCAGCTGCCATGGCAGTCCTCATCACAGATGTCATAAAAGTCTGCGGAAGGATAAAGATGACCTTTCCTGAGGGGCGAGGACCAGGAGATGCTCTCATCCCTGAGAAAGCCTCGTGGGTTCAATCATGGGGTATGAGTTCCTAGCCAACAGCAAGAGAATTCTCATTGTTCAGGGTTTACACAACCAAAAGGCAAGAGATACCGCCCAGGGACTTGTTCTGTCATTGAGATCAGTGATTCTCAACTTCAGATCCACAGGCCCTTGGTGACCATGGAGATTCTTCAAATCTAAAACCTCACCAGACATGAGCTGTAGAATAAATAAGTATTATGTCCTACACTTCTCTGCAGTTTACTTTAAAAATGTATATGGACTTTGATGGGATTAGTAACACAAAAATTCATTTAGAAGTATTACTGGTCTCAAGTAGCTTCTTCCCACTATATATCATTTTAAAAAAACAATGGACACTAAGCACAATGCTACCATGTAGATGTCTGAAATAAATCTTAAGAATGGGTCCTCCATCCTCAAAAAAGTTAGAAATCTATTATTTAGATAACGTAAATCATCATTTCACTTTCTAATGTTTTGTTTGAATGAAATGACGACAAAATAAAAGTAATCAAAGTCATAGCTCGCTTCCCTTCCTATTCTTCAGGAATTTTTCAGAAATCTAAGAACAGACCTCAGAAATCTCCATTTGGATGTGTCTGTGGCCCTAAATCAATGTTCTTCAGCCTGTGAGATTCTACCATAACTGAATTTCAGATGGCACTTCTCTCTTTGACGCCATCTGTAGCCTCGTTGGGGAGGAAAAAGAGCCCAGGGATGGTACTCACGACCACAGTAGACATGAAAGCAGACGCTGGGCTTGGTCAGACGGTACACGTAGTAGCCTCCAGGGCAAGCCTTGACCTCTACTGTGGTGTTCCAGAGGCAGCAGTTCCCACTGAAGCTCGCACAGGCCTGGCGTTGCACAATGCCGTCACCTTCCAGAGGGTGGCTGCCGTTGAGCCAGACAGGTGCATGGGTTCCACAGTGGTTTTCCGGGATGCAGAAGGTGGGCATGGCATCCCCTGCCATGCCTGTGAAGCGGTACCACTCCCCATCCACATTGTTGTCACACAGAGGGGAACCCTGAGACTCATCAAATTCGTGGTCCGTGTTCCTCCACGGCTCATTCAGACTGATGTAAGCAGAGCAAGGATCTAGGGCTGGGGATGAAAAGGGCACCTCAGAGGCACCTTGTGATGTTTCAGATCACGGTGTCATAGCTTGAGTCCACCTTCTTTGGTCTTACATGTCCACTTTTTGGGGGCTCAAGAAAGAAATTATCTAAAGTCCTCAAGAACAGCTGTTCAAGATTTCTCAAGTTGACATAAATATATTTCATAAATGCGTTTTACAAAGTTATTTCAAATCTATGTAAGATTCTGTGTTCGCACTGGACTAAACCTTTTATCCAGAGTAATTATCTGATAAAAAGCTAGTTGTTCAGATCAAGGAAGGTTATTGAACTCTGCACTGGTCAGACTATATTTTGAGTACTGTGTTCACACCTGGAGGCTATATTTTATGAAAGTAAAGGACAAACCTGGTGTCCAGAGGAAGGTGACCAGATTTAGAAGGGAGCCTAACAGTTATTTACTGGGGAAGAAGCTAAGAACTACAGTTTAGAGGGAAAAAAAAAACTGAATATGCATCAGCTTTCAAAAATCTGGAACAGGTTTGTGAAAGAAGAATTAGATATTCTGTTACAAGGACAAGAACAAACTGTTACAGGGAAGTGCATTTCGGTTCAGCTATCCAGTAATGGAGAGGCTGTATCAAAGCCCTTCATCTTTGGCAACTTTCAAAAAGTAGTTGGATGGTCATTTGTAAGCAAGATTATGGATGGAATTTTGCACTAGTGGGAAGTTCGGCTTGATAATGAATGTGTAAAGCTCATTCCACTGAGAAGGAAAAGGCCTCTGGCACATGTCAGCTGCTTTGAAATACACAGTTTACTGGCAAGTAACTAGCAAAGATATTCTCCACATGAGTGTTGGTATATGTTCCATCAGCTTATTGAAATATCATGAACTTTGTGTCTTCACAGTTAGCCATGGCATCACTGTCCAGACTTCAGCAAAATTTCAAGCATGCTTTTTTTCAGTGCATGAATAACATGGACAAATATTTCGTCAAAAACATTTGAATGACTGAAGACCCCAGTATTCTCACCGCGTCTCTCAATTTCAGGAAAACACTAAATTAACATAGGTAAATTATCCTTACAAAGAATCTGTAAAACCAAGAAATTCTAGAAAGGACCATTAGCTTGAGAGTATTATGCATCTAAGATGACTTAACTGACACTGTAGGCAGAGAATTCGTATCAAGGACGATACTCTTTGTGGGCAGGAAATTCAGCCTTAGCATACACTGCACAGTAATTAAATATGGATGGGCCATGATCATACAATCTAACTTGTCTACAAAATATTTTGGATTTCCCCAGTCTGCATTTCAAACTCAAGTTTACTGTCAAAGCTTCAGTCACATGTAGAGAAGGGTGTTGCCTAGTGCTAACGGCCCCACTGAGAATGTAACAGTTTGGGACGAGAAATAACTACGATTTCACCTATTCTGGAAATAACACATTTGCGAAGTTACACGTGGCAGGAGCAACCGTCTCCTCAAAATGTCCCTGAGGTATCCCAGCTGTGCCCCAGACCATGTCCCTTGGGACTCTCTACCCTCTCAAAAGGAAAAAATTCCCTCATCTGCACTCCTGGCTGTGGTTTTCTTATGAAGAAAGGTTTCCAGGGCAATTTCACAGGTGATTATAAATTCATAGAAATATTTGGTTCATCTCCTTGGCTCTAATTTTATAGGAAATGGTTAGGTACTCAACTTTTAATAGCTTTTACAGAAATGCGTAAACCTCCCTCAATAACTATTTCATGATTTATAAAGTTTTCCTTGAATTTAACTAACTTTTCTTGTGCTATTTGTTAAAAAGTTCACTTCCTTTCTTGCTGTAGAGAGTAGGTGACACAAATAGGAGAAATTTACTATCTTTTGTAAAATAAACATATATTTTTAAAGTTACCCATGCAATTTCTAACGTTAAATATACCCATTCCACTCCACCCCCTTTTAAGGCAGTAATTCAATCCTTTAAAAATCTGGCTGCTGGTATTAATTCCTGTTTTCAGTCTTTCAGCATGAAGCCCAGAATTTGGTATTATGTATGTTGCATTGTTGCATCCTGAATTGCTGATATATAGAGAGATATCTGTATAGATAGATATCTATATTTCTCTATATATCTATATATGGGAGCTGGTTGGCCTTTTCTACAATGCCCACGGGTCAGCTGCCCTGCTGGCTGCCCCTCCCAGGTCCCCCCAGGTCTGGGCATCTCGTGGCTGCTGAGCCCAGAGACCAAATGTCATCGTCCCCGCCCCTTCGTCCAGCAGACCAGGAACCCAGGTTCGGAGCCCTGGATCCAGCCCCTCCAGTAGTTGTGATTATGAGCTCAGACTGAAGCCCCCCTCCTCATCTTCTCTTCCCGCTCTCCCACCTTCTCTCCTCTCTGTCCTCTTCTCCTCTCCCTCTCCTCTCATCCTTTTCTCTCACTTCCTCTCTCCACCCTGGGCAACCCTCACCCCCACTCTAATCCCCAGCCTCTGAGTTCCCCCTTCATCTTGCTTATGGCATGGAGTCAAACGTCGTAGAAGGGCTGCAAGAAAATAAATCAATAAAATAAAAAAGATCTGGGACAGGAGAAGGTGTGTGATGTGAGGGTACAGGAGGTACTGGAGAGAGAGTAAGCCTGGAGAGAGTGTGGGGAGAAAGGGGAGAGGAAGCTGACGGAGGATGACTTTGGCTTAAGCAATTCTTGGTTAGTTCCTGGTAGTAGATGGTGGTTAAACTTGGCTCAAGCCTATCTTTAAGACTATTTTTTTAGTATAACTGAAAAATTGTGCTCTACACTGGAAATTGACACAACATTGTAAACTGACTATAACTCAATAAAGAAGAAAGAAGAAAAAAAAAGACTGTTTTTTAAAACCAATTGTAGATTTAGAGAATCATTGGGAAGATAGTACAAAGAATTCCCATCTACTTGCACCCAGTTTCCCCTATTAGAGAAAAATCGTAGGTTAGTATGGTACCTTTGCCACAATTAATGAACCAGTGTCAATACATTATTATTAACTTAAGTCTGTAGTCTATTTAGATTTCTTCAGTTTTTGCCTATGTCTTCTCTGTTCCAGGATCCCATCCAAGTTGCCACATTTAGTTTTCCCTGACTCCTTAGGGTCTCAAGTCTTTTTTTAAATGTGTATTCTTAAAGGTGCTAGAGCAAGGCCTGAGTTACCCCGAAGAAATAAATCAGGGGCAATTAAGCGCTGAGCTTCTCAAAAGTGCTGAGAAGGATGGTTTCCTCAGCCTTCTCTCTCGACCTCCTCTCACTCTCTCTTCTAGTTAGAACTTAAATTCTACTAGGATAAGGAGAGAGAAATTTGTTAGTAACTGAAATTGAAACTTTTCTTTGCCGTGCTGGCCAGTTTTGTGCCAAGCCTTAGGGGGGAGACAGTTTAAGATTCACTGAGTCTCTGCAAAAAGTCATATTTCCAGACGTCAACACTAAGAGGTCTAATTTATCCAGGTCTGTGGCTTTCATGGGCACAGCCAGTCCCTTGTATTCATTAAAGAAAAAATTCTATCCTCTACTCTAAAAATCTTTTTTTCCCTTAAAGTTGGAACTAGAAAAGTGTCTAGTATATAAAGAGGTTAGAATTCCTTTGACACATAGTCCAAGAAATATTTAGCTAGTGGAAAGTTGTTGGATATGGCAAATCCACGAAAATTTTGGACGCTCAGGCAAGAGGCTAAAGGAAACATGAAATAGAAATTTTATGAAAATGTATCTTCATAGGTTATCAATGACTTTTCTTATATTATTGTAGAACTAGTATTTAAGATACTGGAATCTTGCCCTTAATAACCTGTTCATAACAGCAAATCCCCACAACAAGAAGTGCATTGTGCCAAGTACTTGACACAAGACTCACCCATTGGTGATGCAGGTGTTATTGTGATGAAGAAGCAGGTGAGAAGCAGGAACTGAGACATCCTTCTGGATCGGCCACCAGAGACAGACTGGAAAATCCTCTTAATTTCAGTTTCCCTTAGCTTCCTTCTTTTTCAAGCACTTTTTAAAAAGGCCTCTAGGCTCTTATGAAGAAAGACTTTTCAGTATGGGCTCGGGCTTTATCAGAGGAAGAGGATGAGGGGGATAAGGTGTCCATTGCTCTGGCCTTGACCCCAGATAGAAGCATGGCTTTACACTGTCAACAAAGTTATTTTATTGATAGTTTTCTTTAGGAAAAAAACCCCAAACATTTCACAATCCCTCATCCTCCTATTGTTTTTTTCTCAAGACTTCCCTGCAATGAGGCCTCCAGTATCTTATCCAGAAGGGAACTCTAAAAGAGGGACATCCACTCACGTCAGAATCTTGTTCTGTGACTTCTAGCAATTGATTTCATGATGTTGCAGCCATAGCATTGCATACTAAATGAGACTGGGATAAAGCCTAATTTTTGGAACTGGTCATTAAGAAATACCTAGGTTAGGTGGTCAAGGAGTTCACAATAGCACACAAAAGAGTAGTAAGGACAGGTGTGGAATGAGGACAATATTCTCTTGAAGCAAGCTTCTAAGTCTATTTTATAATGGTCTTTAGTATCAAAACTTCCTAAAGAAACAAGGCTTAAGTTGTGTTTCTACCAATTTGAGCAGCAGTATCTCATGTTTTCATAGTGCCTTTCTTCCCCAAATTGAAAATGGTTTAGTGTTATTTATTTTACTAATTCTCACACTAAGATAGGTGTAGGGGCTTCAAATTAGGAACTACTCATTAAACACTGAAAAGGTTTCATTTTTAGACAAAAGAGGGGAACTGTAAGGTTTTGTATATTACATGTCACCAGACATAACCTTAGTAATTACAGGTTTGGAGTTTGCCAGCTTCCTGACATTCTAGTGTGTAGAATGAGGACTGGCAAGAACTATTACAGAAGATAATGTGAAGGGAAGGATAGAAAGAATGATAGAAGGTTTTTGGTTGTTGTTAAATTTTTTCTCTCCTACTCTTATTTTGACCTGATGCTTTGGGCTTCTACTATTCCTAAACTTACCTCATCTTTGTTTTCTTGCCCAATAACTGACTTTCCAGTGACGGGGAAAGAAATATTATCTTCAGGAAGTAGTCCCTAAACTTGTCTTCATAATCTCTTCGCACATTTTCTTATTATACTAAGTAGCATTCAAATTACTGTGGCCCCTTTCCCCTAGGGTTTCAGTTCAATTAAACATTAGTACTTACTAGAGGCCAGGTAACATGCTGGCCACTAGTATTTGACAGTGATTAAGGTAGAAGTGGTTCCCACAAGCAGACTTTACAGTCTAGCAAGATGTTTCCACTGATCTAAATTTGCAGTTAGTTATCACTGATGCTAGAACACAGGCGATTTGACCATTAGTTTATTAAGCTGCAATCTGATGGCAGCAACGGATGACTGGGCCTGAGGAACTTGCTCATTGCAGGGTTAGCGCTGCTAAGTGGCAGTGCTCTTAACAGAAAAAACAAAAGCTCGCAATTTCCTGTCCCTGAGAAGCCATCTGAATGCTTCATGTGTGTTGCAGGGAAACAGGGGACGTGTGCATGAGATAAACCCAGATTTGCTGCCAGGACTGATTGCCAGAGTCAAGGACTTTTACCAGATAGCCCTTTGGTTCTGTAAACAAGCATTCTCAGGATGGTAGGATTTTTTTTTCTTATTCTTATTTTTTCCTTTTTCAGTTGACCTGCCCTTCCATGTATACTTTCTGTGATTAAAAATTTCAAATATATATAAAGTAGAAAAAACAAAAATGAGCACCTAGCTGCAATTATTACTAGCATTTTGTCGATCTTATTTCATTTACACAGCAATATGCATGTCTAACAAATGGCCTTTCTTTTCTACATAATTGTAATGTCATTATTACAACTATAGAAACTAGTAGTAATTCTTTAATGTCATCTAATTCTCATTCCACATTTACATTTCTCCAGTTGTTTCAAAAATTTCTTTGTATTGCTAGTTTGAGTCAGGATTCAAAGAAAGACCCATACATTGCTTGTGGTTGGGTCTTGTAAATTCTTCTAATCTATAATGTTCCCTCTATCCCCACCTGCCATGCTATTTGTTGAAGAAATCCATTTCTTTGTCCTATAGAATGTCCCTTCTCCCATATTTAATGTTAACTCTTGTTCATATTTTCTTATTTTTCTAAAGGATGTGCTATTATAAATTAAAAACAAAAATACTTTGGTGACACTGAACAAATTTAATGCATAGGCGGGAGTGCTGGAAATAGATGTTAGGAGGTGGATAAACCAGTCTGCTGTTCAAGAGAGATCTGAGCTAGAATAACATTTTGAGAGCAACCAGCATATAAATGGTAACCGAAATTGGGGGAGACGAGTAGATGAGATCATTCATGGAAAATGGGGTCCAAGATGGAACTTTGGAGAAGCCTAATATCAAAGATGTGGGCAGAGGAAAGGATGCTGCAAAACAGCAGTCAGAGATTTACAGAATAGTCGTCACAGGAGCTGAGGTCAGTTTCAGGGTGCAGGGATTGCCTAGAGGGTGATGCATTTATAAAACATCGTAAATGAAAATTTATACAGTGGATCACTTTATATTCAGTAGGATTTGTTCAAATTAACATATATATTTATCCTAAGGACAACCACACACTACATTTTGGATGACAAAAAGTTTGGACTTGTTTGGGAGAGCAATGAATTAAAGGTTGTTGGCAGTGATAAATATGAATTACAACCCTTAACAGTTTTGGTGAAACTGAGCTCCAAAATCTAAGAAGTTCCACTTTTCTGTGAAATCTTTTCAGATAGATTTAAAAAATTCAAACTATTGTATTTATTTTTGTAAGCATCCACTTGCTTATTACCACTACACCCTGACAAGCAAGATACAACAGTACATACATTGGACATGATCTCTACTTTTCCATTTACCATAGTCACCACACTCACCGATCCTTACTCAATCTGGTTGATTATAGGATTCACTGATAAGTTGTGACACAGATGTCCTTCCTGTGCCTCAGTTTCCCTCCCTTTAAAGCCATAGTTTGACCGGATCAGTGGTTCACATCAGAATCATCAGGAGGGCTTGTTAAATGGATTGCTGGCCCCACTCATAGTTTCTGATTCAGTAGGAACCAGAGAACATGCATCTCTGGAGATGCAAGGTGCTGCTCCAGAAACCATCCTCTGGGAGCCCTTCACCCTTTCCAGCTCTAGAAGTCTATGATCCCTTAGCAAAACTGCATTACCAACACTTCACTAATGGATTTAACACCCTCCATTACTAACCAAAGCCTAACAGAATGTTGTAGAATACATAGTTATTATTTGTTGAATGCAAACAATGGCTTACCATTTTCAATCTTACCTTCTTAAACCTTAAGTTCCTGGGATGTCTGTATTAGGCTGCTGTGAGCTACCAGGAGGCAAGACCGCAGCTGTGGAGGCTCTTAGTACATCACACAACACACTTAATGCAGACATTTAACACATGCTTTTCGATACGCCTTTGATGGACTAGGCAGCACGTGATAGCTTCCTATTTGGTGATCATTATAAATTTGATACAAAGTCTTAAAATAATGAATATCTGATCTTGGTTCATTCTTGAACAACTTTCTGGAGTCCAGGAGACCACACTGACCAATCTGGTGGTCTGATAGAATGGAGATATTTCCTGTTAATCAGGAGATAAGGATATTAGTCTTAGTGCTGTCCTTAGCTCTATTATGGTTGTAGAGGTCACTTAACCTCTGGTAGCTCTGGAAGACTCGGAAATATTGACTATATTAAGTTGAGGAATAATTAATGAAATGCCTGTTTAAAAAATTTGGGGGGGAGGGTACAGCTCAGCAGTAGAGTACTTGCTTAGCATGCACAAGGTCCTGGGTTTAATTCCCAGTACCTCTGTTAAAACAAATAAATAAACTAATTCCACCTTCCCTAATTATATATGCTCTAGGTACAAAACTTAATTTCAAAAGGTATTTTTTATAAAAATAATTTTAGATGTCAAAACCTTCCTACCTTGAATCAGGAAAATAACCTTGTTTTTGTTTCTGCTTTTTGTTTTGCCTTAAAGAATGAGCTGCTATAGTTCAAAAATTGAATAGGTATTTATTGTTCCAGAAGGTACATTGCTTTTTATACATATTTCATAAATGATACAGGATTTTACACATGTTCAATATTTTGCTATTTATTTAAAGGACTTTTCTCCACGTCCTCCCCTCCCTTACCTCCCTGAAAGGATTTGCTCATTGCACTGTGCTGTTTCTTCTTAAAAACCCTGCATACAAACAGGATAAATGGTTTAAAAATAATTCACGCAACTTAACAGAAAAAAATGAGGGAAGGGGGTTAATGACCTGGGGAGGGGGTGGGAGGGGAAGGAAGTGGGAGGAGGGATGGGAAGTGGAGACATGCATCCTTTCATTCCGTCATGCCAGTGGAAGGGGGGTGGCAGGAGCAGCAGCAGCAGCAGCAATCCTGGCTGGCCTTCAACCTCTGAAAGGCACCTGGAATCTGGGTTTGTCATTTAAAGTATTCTCTTAGTACACAATGATCCCAAAGGAGGGAAAAAAAAAAAAAGAAACCCCTTGCCACAATGAGGAGGGATGAATCATGTCAAAGAAAAAAAGCCAATCAATCAGCTGCATGGCAAGCTCCATCATCCTTTTCATCCTGCCCCACAGTTGTTAAAAACAGGATATTAGACACAGATTCCTTTGACTCTTCAAGTGCAGATGTCATCTGGAAATATGGTAGAAAATATTTTGATAGAGTATAAGATTAATTCCTCTTTCTCTCAATTTAAGAAAAAAATAGGGTGAAGAAAGTAGGTTGAAAGAAGCCATAGAAATGTATTCCTGTATAAAGATAAATTGCACCCTTTGAGATCCACACACTTGATTTACAATGACTGAAGTGGTGGAGGTGGGAGGGCTCACAAACAGTGTGGGAAATGTGTGTCCTTCGAGATTAACAAAGCCTCCAGACCAGGCAGTACCATCTGGGGGGCCTGGAATGCTGTCACACAAGCAGATTAACAGTAGTGACATTATTCTGGTTCTGAAATGGCTACAGAGCCATGATTTTTAGCCAATTTGTAAACCTTACATCTTCCTGATTTGCTAATACAGCTGAACACTCTCCCTCTGACTTGAACTGTGGAGGGAGAGGGGAATATCAATAGGATAGTTAAATAAAGGAGGGAAGTTTGTCCTCCTCTTAAAGACTAATTAGTAAAAAAACAAAACAAAAAAACCTCATGCAGTGTTGCCAGTGATTTCTAGATATTGATCCAGAGCACTAGAATAAATAGACATTGAAGAAGGCATTAAGGGATAATCCAAAGTGTCAAATATCAAAGAGTCATAAGGTGGTTCCAATTATCATATAGATAAAATTAGTGTAATGAAAGGTGTGTGTGGTCAAAAAAAACAGGCACAAACAGGAGAGATGCCTGATAACTTTTTGCAGAGACCGGGCCCAATCTAAAATAAATGCTAATGATGTGGGCTCAGACTCTGTTTGCCACCCACATTATCTTGAGGATTTGCTTTTCTGGACTATTTATTTACTCCTATGTCAAAAATAAGAAAAGTTAAATTAAAAAAAAATTAGAGCTGAGTGGGGTGCTGGTGTGTTACTGTTTTGCTGACCCTGCAAAGTAGATGCAAGAAACAAACACGCCCAGCGTCATTTTCTCTTTGTGAATCTCTCAACTATATAATGCATCATTTTCATCCAGAAACTGAGATGCTTGATTAAGACAATATTCACGAAGCCCTTTCAGATTATGTTCCACAAAGCCTGATCCTCAGATTTTAACATCCCTTTCTTCCCTAAGATCCTTTTTGCTTTTGTTTTTTAATTAAAGGTAAAAACCCTCTACCCCGACATGGCTCCCAGCTTCCACCTGCAATGCTTTAATTAAAAAGGCAATAGTTATAAACAGGTGTTCTTTCTGCCGGGGTTCAGAGGCTCTCTGCAGATCAATCTTTTTCACCAATTTGTCGGAGGGGCAGATGTACTTGTAATGGGTCTCTCAGTCTCTTAAGGTCCATTTCTGCCTAAAATAGAAACAAAAGTTAAGAAAAACTGGCTATTCAAGCTTTCAATGATATTACTGTCTCCTGAAAAAAGGAAATCGTCTTTCCCCCATCACTATGAGTCAGAGAAATCATCTCCATCACTCTCAAAATAAGAGTGCCTCAGAGGCAAAGGGCTTTAAGGGCAGAGGACTACATAGAGGGAAACAGAAGTGTGTCCTGGCAGTTTCAGCTGTCAACGGGGCCTCCAGAAAAGGCTGTGTGGTCAACAGGGCAGGACTCAGGGGCTCAACAATGTGGGGAGCATCCGATGTACTTTGATGGCATTTCTCCAGGGAGAAGCACTCACCAACTTTTGTCTGGGGCCAGAACTCCAATTTATGTGGTTCAAAACTTTAATTATTTACCTAGTAGTTGCTTAAAGTTTTCACTAATCAGTAATTTTTAACATGAAAGAAAATGTGCAGTCAATATTTTCAAAACTCATACATGCTTGGGCCTCACCCCTGAGAAGCTGGATCTACTGGCTTAGGTGGAAGCATCAGTATTTTTACAGAATCATCCAGAGATGATTCTGATGCTTACCCTCCAGTTGAGAACCACCACAGAGCAACAGAAGACAAGAATTCACTTAGCCTGAGGCAGGAAGATGGATTAAGCCTATTTAAAGCACAACCTCATCACTAATAAGGGGCAGAGAACAGTGACTAAACATGATGGAAGGGCTTCCAGAGATTAAAAAAAAATCTCTGAAGTCATAAAAGACTTCAGAGAAGAGGAATGAGGATTTCTTCACCCAAATCAAAGATATCAGAGCAAGAGGGGAGGCACACTCAGGAATCTGAAAGAGTTTACTATTACAAAAAATCAATTATCAATCCTTTAAAAAAGCATCTTCTAGTTCAATAATCTCTGAACTGCACCTGGCAAAGATTTCTAGTAGTCTCTCTCTTACCTGGATTTTACTTTTGCCCATTGCTACCACACATTTTAGGTGAGAGATCTTTGGGTCAGCTATTGTAGAAAGATTTAAAAAAGAGAGAAAAGTAAAAATAGACCACTCTAAAGAAACAAAATGAAAAAAATAAAAATAGGTCTAAAAATTTCAACATGATAGTGTTAACGGGATAGATAGGATCCATCATCTTTTCACCTGCTTGTGTTATAAAACTCTCTAGAGAGTTGTCCATGCTAAAATAGTCATTTTTATCAACTGAGGAATAATTTATGTAGGAAGAAGAGGGTTGGATCATTCTTTCAGAGTTTACCCATTAAGTAAGTTGATTATACATGATGATGATGATGATGATGATGATGATGATAATGCCACAGAAGATGAGGCTGGAATTTATTTTCAGTTTTGGAAAACCTACCTGAGCAATTGCATCTTTGAGTTGATTGTATTTCTCTAGGTCAAAACGTGACTTTTTGGCTCCTTTATGGAAAAATAATAAGTATTGTCTGTCTCTGGCTTCTGGATAAACGTATTCCTACAAAAATAAAGGAGAAATTAAATGATTAGTCCTTAGCACATTAACTTCCCCAAATAAGCATTTACGGAAGGTGATAGTAAAAAGTTAAAAGAGCTGTCAGGAGCCTAAAGGTTTAGGCATACTAAATTAGTATATTAACTTTTATTATAAGTAGGCACTGAATGGCCATTGAAGTAGCTTGCTGGAGCAGAATATAAATGATGAACACTGGAATTGAGATGTCAAAGGGTATTAAAGGCCAGATCAGTGTTTCTTAACCTTTTTTCATTACTGTCCCCCTAAGTTGCCTTTTTAGATATTTTACCCTAATTGCCCCTCCTCCCCAAAGAAGGTTTAATACCACAGATATACTGTATATCTGTTTATCTCCTGTAATATCTAAGATGTTTTACTCCCCAAGAACCAATTTCGCCCTCTTGTGGGTGACATCCTCTTCGTTGAAAATGCCTGGGCTAGGGTGTTGAGTGATGGTTTCCATGCCTGCTGAAGGAACTCTGAATGGCAATTCTTATTGTCAGGCTCTTTTTTCATATGATAGAAACTGGTATTCAGGTCTTACTGAATCACTAGTCAGTAAAATTCAATATTCCACTTGATTTTATGATTTTAAGGAATTTGTCATAAAAATTCTTTGGAACTTAATGTACTATTAGAATATATTTAGGCTGCTAACAAATGCAGCATCTCATTGTAACAACAGTTTAGAAGATTTTAAATGCTGTTGAACAGGCATTCTGCTTCATGGGTGTTAATTATGGATACTGCTATGGGAAAGAGTATTTAACATGAGGAACTTCCTATTTACATTTTATTTGGTCCATTTTTTCCTATTCATAAATGACTAAACTGTTTACTACGGCTATTTTCCAACCTGTTGCTTGGGGGCAGCAAAAATGTTTTGGAATCATAGAAGTACAATATTTAAATAGTAGGACAGATAGGTTATTAAAGATATAAGATACTGTATTAAGAATGGTAAGAAAATATTTTTTTTAGATTCAAATTATTTCAAGAGGAATGTTCAACCTCATGGCAACATTAATAATCACCTCTTTTAAAAAAGCAACTGCTCAAAATCAAATTGGATCAGGTATATCATCTGTTTTGCTTCTTTCTTTTTTTTTAAAACATTTTTATTGATTTATAATCATTTTACAATGTTGTGTCAAATTCCAGTGTTCAGCACAATTTTTCAGTCATTCATGGACATATA